CACCGCAAGAGTATAATATTTTTAAAAAATTAAAATTTTACTTATATCTAAGTTAGCCAGTTGGTTACTCATTTAACATTTCTTTTGTTCCAATATGATATAAATAAAGATTAAAAATTATATAAACAAAACTATTAGAAATATTTTGCCACAGATAACATACAATTATTATTATTATCATGGCTGACAGACACAATATAGGTAAAAATTTCCAGTAAATTCAGAAGGAAGAGATAACTGTGATTTCGTGGGGCTGTTGTTCCAGAACTTAAGTGTACTCTTTGATGAGACAAACTGCTACTTGTTTTTACCTACAGGACATGAAGATTCATTGCTCTGAAATTGTTAGTAAAAGTGCATTAGTAATTGCTTATCTATAAGGTTATCTTTGCTGCGACGACGGATGGCAAAGTTCTTATGTAGCTTTTATTTACAAATATACATGCGACTCCCACAATGTGTAAAAGGCAGAATATCTTTAAGTATATTTTGCTTCTTTATGACTTTGTCAATGAACTTTCAGGAAATGGCAGAGTAGCTTCCTTTTGAGCCCAAGGAGGCAATGCCTATAATCAGAGGCCAAGGAGAGTCCACTGGGGGGAAAATAAAGCCCGCAAAAATTAAATACTTATCCATGGCAACCCAGAAAATCATTAAGCACAAATCCTCTGACTCCCGAGACAAGCTCTTTTTGACCCTCATTTATGATGTCACATGCCTCCCTATGGCACCTTCCGAACACGCCTCTCCTGGTGTATGCTTCGGCACAGCTAGCTTTATTGAGGCTGTTAACCAGGCCTTGAAATGCGCGTTCCACTTGGCGGTGTTATGCAGTTTCAGATGTAGGATCTGAACCAGGTCCTTACCACCACATAGCGACTTCAGTCCTTTTGGACAACTTCAGTGGAACAACACTAGAAATTCCTTGCACGGATCATGAGCAACGTGTGACCCCCAGCCTCTTCTCAGTTCATGTAATCTTTCATCTCTTCTAGGGTATCTGGACTGGATTGTTGTTCCCATTTATGCTGCCTCATCTCTCAGTGGTTTAAAGAAATAGTTAACTATGCAAACATGAAGATTGCAACTGAGAAATATTCAAAAAGTGTTTGTACTGCTTGCTTTTTTTTTTTAATTTGGCTTAATTGCTCAAGGTGAATTAACAAGATGGCTACCAACTCACTGCAAATGAGATCGTGTGAAATCTGTCAACCTAGTCCAATCTTACTTCTGGATCCTGTGTTACTAGAGTTCTTCCCATGGCCGAGGCATCGTTCTTCCTTGTATCCATGGCTGTGTCTGTTAAGACCTTTCATACAATAGCCTCAGAACTCTGGTTGCAATTAGGGTTTTGATTAGCTGTCAGTGATGTCATAGCCATGGTTATTTTAAATCCACTGTGCTAAGTGTTTTCCTTTTCTTAATGTACTGTAGAAATTCCATTGCTTGACAGCAATAAGACACTTCAGGCACTACATTTCAGGGCCAATATTGCACTTCTCATGGAGTTAAGACACTTGGCCTTCAGCCTCGTGACTTATAACACAATCTGAGTTATGCTATAATCACCCAGATATATACATGGCCTGTTGTGTTTTATGGCTTAAATGGAACCTGTCCCAGCGCCTCGTCAACTGACAAGGTGGGAATATAGCCCCGAATGACTGTTCAGATTCCCACTGGGAGTTGCTTTTGGTCAGATCTCCTTTTGCTATTCAGGGGTTACACTGAAACTCTAGAGGCCTTCGGTATATTTACCACACAACAGAAATCAAAACTTCCAGCATCTCAGGTCTCGCTGCCAGACTGCCCAATTTAGGTTGCCAAATATCTCCCTCTCAACACATTTATTGAACTTTAAAACAGCAGAACAGCATTGAATGAAGTCCAGTAATTTTTATAGGATATATTTAAGTCACTAGACTTTGAAGACTATTCCAACATTAATTATAAATTTCTGTGTCTGGATAACATATTGTTAACAGTTATTTTGCAAGTGCTAATGGCAAGATGGAAGATTTCCAATAATTTTATTGAGGAAGTAGCAATTAAAATGTTGAGCACTACAGGGTACATACAAAATAAAAATAATTTTGCAAACATGGCACTGTACTTCATGACAGAGATGGAGATGTACTCTTTCTTTTCACATAGATATAATGATTTTGCCTTTCCACCTGTTTTTATTCAGAGAAGATCAAGAGGTCTCTTTTTTGTTTGTTTGTTAATATTTAAAGGCAGTGTGAAATACCAGCGCTCCAGGCTGGCTTGATATTATTTACCACAACATCATGAAATGATTTTAAGACAAGTTGTTATCCATATTTCTTTCAATAACAAATATCATTAAAATGAGATCATTGGCTTTGTGTGACAATTTATGACTCTGGAAACGCATGAGCTGTCTTTTCTAAAGACTTTCAAAGACCTCGTCTAGCATGGTTTTCCTCCAGAGCTCTCTTGGGTGACCACCCAGCTTCCAGACTCACCCTACCACAGTCAGCCAGCATCTTCAGGTCATTAGCCTGTCAGAACCCTGACAGCAGAATGATGGACAGCAGGACATGGCAGGTGGGAGGGAGAGCCCTTGAGTACATATGGTGTCAGGGGCAAGACCTAGAGGATTAAAAGGACTTGCCCATGGTCACACAGCTGGGGAGCAGTAGACAGTACATGTAGACTTGGTCCAGGAGTGTGTCATCTTTACCACATTGCTTCCAATCATTTTAAATTTAGAGTGAGAATTGTCAATTGTACAATCAAGACAGAATAAAAATAAACTAATTTTCCGTCAGTTTGGTGACATTATATTTTGAAAGGGATTTTAGACCAAGAGCACAGCTGCTTTCCAACTTTACTTGATCCCCACTTTCTTTTTTAGGCATATTCTGATTGCTCTATAACTTGGGCCCAGGTTTCCCTCATTCATTTGGTAAAATAATTCTTTTACCTGTATTTTTAATTTTGGTTTAGATCTATAGTTGGAATGCTTATCAGGACTGGCTGATGGTATCAACACTATGCTATGCTATAATATCACTAAAGGAAGTTTCCTGCTAAAATATTTTATTAAGGTTCTGCTTTTGGGGGATTGATATGTACTTCCCTTGGTTTTCCTTTGTGGATCATTTCTTAAAAACACCTTTTCTCTGAAGGATCACACAAGAGCAGTCGGATCAGGAATCAGTTTTTCTTTTTTCACTCAAGAAAAATAAGCATACAGAAACCGAAGTTATTTAAGAATTTTTCACGCATTTTTGCTAAATCAGAGGGATTTTTGGAAACATTTTTATGGGTCAGTCCTCGGAAAGAGAGTAGTTCTTATTAATGGGGCTTCCTCTGTTTTAGCTTATATACTTATGGAATTAATTCTTATATTCTCATATTACTTTATTTACTCAGTCTTACGAATTCTAAATATTAAAGTAGATTATTAGATTTATAATTAATTTTCTTAACTATTTTGTTTAATAACCTATCAATATCAAGGGCATATGAATATCAGTTGAGTAATGCCTTCCTAGAGTTTCATAATCCAAACTAAAATACTAAAATACAACCTAAAATACTTATGTTGCCATCCTATAAGAAGATTGATCATTAGTTGCTTTATTGCCTCTTATGAGAGGATTTACTATTTGTTATTTATTCCTTAGTAGATATTCTTGGTTCATAGTGAGTGAATATATGACCACCCCACCTTTGTCTCACCTTCTCATAAGAAAAAATATGTCCTTTCTTCTTATGCTCAATGTGTTATGATCTCTTCACTTAATGGATGTTCAAAAAACTTCTCGCAATCAGGTGGGCAGCTGAAGATATGTATTTAATTCATGTATTTTTTTCTTCAAGAAAATTAATCCCGATTCTTGAGTCACAGAAACCCTTGTGTTTAGAAAAAAAATTATTATTGATTATACGTAGGTGACATTGAATATTTTTCTGATTTTTCCAAGTGATTTTTGAAACTTCCAGACCATGAAAGAGAGTGAGGCTTCTGCTTAAGAACGAATATCAGGGATAGGTAGTAAATGTTCAGTGAATTTCAACATAAAAATGTCACTCTTCTGTTTTGCTAATATACCTCAAAGAACATGTACAAAATTGGTTTTGAAAGACAAGTTTTTAATGCTAGAAATAAAACTTGTATAAATAGAATTTGGTTACAAAGGTGACCCTAGAAAATAAATAATCTTCCTGTTAGTGGTTGGGCCCCCTGGGAACCAATTAGTGAAATCTTAGTGAAAATTTTGTGTCAGGTTCTGAAACAGTTAACGTCTGAAAGGTGTACATTTATCCCCAGGATGGATGTAAGTGCATTTGATGGGATGAGTGTCGTTAAAAAGAACTTGGAATAATTGTTACCTATACAGGAATCACTGGAAAAAACACAAGTTACCTGTAACTGAAAGCTTTTATGACCAATACTCCGGAATTCTTGCTTCTTTCCTCTAGATTTTGTTTCATGTCCTCATGATGCTGTAGCTGTTCTATCAGATATTAAGCACCAGAGTTTGGACTAGACCCAGTGTAGCCAATGAGAGGCAGTATCCTCTAGAGTCTGATGGTCTGGGCTTTGAAGACTGACAGATGTGGGTTTGGTTACTGTTTCTGCTTTCCGGTCTGTGTGAATTTGGAAAATCCAGGTGTATATGACTTCCTCTTACTATATTGCTTCTAACCAGAATGGTAAGACAATTACAGGGACTGAAAGGGCAAACACTTTCAGAATATATTAAAAATATGCATTTTTTTAATGGAAAGGACTCTTTATTTCAGTAACCCACCAGTCTTGTGATCTTGTCAAATTATCTATGAAGACAGTTTTTGATGATGTTCTTATTGAAAGAAGGCTAGCAGTGGTGAAGACTTCTAGATGATCAACCAAAGCTTTTCTTTCCTTTCCAGGGCACATAGCCAGATGACGCTTCCCAGACTGTATTATACTAAAGTGTAGCCAGGTGACTGGGTTTTAGTCAGTGGATGGAATAGCAGTGATCTGTAGTATTTCTGAGCTTGGTGCATAAAAAACCTCCCATGATAGATTCTCTGTGCTCTTTTCCTTCATAGGAGTTGATGTAGAGGAGTATGGCAACATCGGAAGTTGTGTGTTAAAGCTGGTGGAGCCACGACATGGAAGGAGCCTAGGATCCTGAATCAGTGCCCAGAGGTGAGCCACAGTTAATCAGGAATACTCATTTTGACTGTGCATGAATGAGAAATAAGTGCACGAGGCATTAGAAGCTTTGTTTTTGTTTTTTTCTTAATACTAGTGTGTATTACCTTAACTAATATTCTGTATAATTAGTATCTCACATAGAATTTATTTTCTTTCATAATTTATTACGTTAATATTAGGAGTTCTGCTTATCAGCTTTCCATGATGTCATTGCAAATGAGTGAAACAGTTCACATTGAATAACTATGTTTATCCATTGGACGATATCATCACTATACTTATTTTTACTGTTTTTTTTTTTGTCATCCCTTAATTTACAAAAATACATGAGAAGCTTGTCCAATTTCAGTTTTTCTTTTACTGAGGCCATGGATTCCCCCCCCCATCCCCACCTTGACACTGGAATTCTGCCTAAAATGAAACAGCAACAGAACAGAGGTCAAGAACTTGGAAGGATTCATATGGAAGAAACCAGGTACAGCTTGATTTAATATCAGTATTTCATGTGTTCAGAGAGTGGAGTTTCAGGCTACAAGATAACAGCCCATCATTTTTATGCCCTTCCATCTGTGAAAAGCTGTTCCTCAATGCACAGTGTATGAACAACCTAGCAGCTTTTCATTTTAGGCACTATATTTTGAAAAAGAGAGAGAGAGAGAGAGAGAGAAAGAGAGATCTTTTGATGCATAACCAAGAACACTTGAAATCTATGGAGTTTTAGGGCCAGACTCATAAAGTATTCAGACTTGCCCCTGAAACATATTGCTAGAGAAAGGTACAGAACACAAATCTTTAAAACGTTGCCTGCTGCATATACAAAACAAAGGTTACACCCTATACCATCCACCAGTGAAGAAACAAGTGTGTGCATTAAGAGATTAATAGAATAGGAGGAGCCACAGGAATAGAATAAGCATTTTAAAGGAGGGGTTTAGCAGGGGGAGGGATAAATAGATGGAACGTAAGATTTTTAAGGCAGTGAAAATACTCCGTATGATATTACAACGAGGGATACGTGCCATTATAGATTTGTCCAGACCCATAGGCATAATACCAAGACTGAATCCTAATGTAAGCTATGGACTTTTGGTAATTATGTGCCAATGTAGGCTTCGTCACTTATAACAAATGTACCACTCTGGTGGGGGAGACTGTTAATGGTGCAGGCTATGCATGTGTGGGTGTAGGGAGTAGATGGGAAACTTCTGTACCTTTTCTTAATTGAACGTAAAATTGCTCTTTAAAAAAGTCTTTAAAATTTTTAAAGAAAAATCCAAGATGTAATGTATTAACATTTACAGGGTAAGGTTTTGTTTAAAAAGTATGAATAATAATAATAATATAGATAAATCCCATTAAAACAAGTCCCATTGTAAAACAGCAAAGCATAAAATAAGAGGGACCCATATTCTCAAATTTCTAACAGAACTCCTGGAATAATGCAAGGCAGTAGAAAAACCAGAGGTTTCTATCCCCATCTGTCTTCCTCTCACTCCTGTGGTATTGTACACATCAGTGCAAACCTTGGACTAGGGTTCTTAGGTACCATCCCAGGTTAGGGACTCATTAGGCAGGGACCTAGCCTCCCATTAAGGTATCCAATAGTACCCATAAGCTATAAAATACTGAAGGACACTTGGCAACAAAAAGACCAATTAGTCTGAGGATGGCTCTCTCTCTCTTTTTTTTTTTTTTTAAGATTTTATTTATTTACTTATTTGAGTAAGAGAGAGCACGAGCAGTGGGGGAAGGGACAGAGGGAGAGGAGATGCAGACTCCCCGCTGAGCAGGGAGCCCAATGTGGGACTGGATCCCAGGATCCTGGGATCATGACCTGAGTTGAAGGCAGACGCCTAACTGACTGAGCCACCCAGGTTCCCCCAATGGCTCTAATAGCTCCAAGCCTAAAGATGGGATTGTTGCCCCTTTTAATTCACTTTTGTAATCAAATTTTTCCATGGGAAGGCCTTTCTCTGTGAACTCTTTAGGAGTCATAGGAGCAACTTTTCAGAAAAGTAGCACTTTTGTTGAGTCATACCTAAATCATAACAACATGAAAATTCCAACAAGTATAGCTTTTTAACTGAACCACCTTTCTCCCAAAGATGATTCTATCACATCTGTTCTGTCCCATCTCTCAGTGTAAGAATTGCAAGCCTCTTCAACATGTGATTCAAGTGAATCATGATATGTATTTTAAAAAAAAAACTTTTAAAGTGTAAAGAGATGTGTCTCTGAGATGGTCTTTTGAGCTGCCATTCATTTATTCATTCATTCATTCCACTTTAACTAAATACCTGCTATGTTCTAGGCCCTAAGTACTGTAAAGCCTTAAGGAATACATAAACAAAAAACAATTAAAAACCAAAGCATCCAACAGTTCTTGGGTGTTTTGAAATGAAGTGTTGAATGTCCATCATTTTACTTCATCCTCCCAATAAGCCTACAAAGGAGGTACTAGTAGGATCCTTATTTTCCAGATGAGCAAACAGGTATAGAGTTGTTAAGTTGCCCACCCAAACTGGGAAAGGGCAAGAGCCCAGGTTTGTTCTACCCTAGCATGTGTGCTTCAATCTCCAAACAATAATGTCTCCCAAGGACTCTACTCTGGGATACTACTGTATATTCTACTGATGGGGATACATGTGCAAGCAAGTAATTTTAACACATCAAGGATACACAATGTGATACCAGAGCACAGCAGGGAAAGAGAATAAATGTGCACTGGGGAAGTGGGAAAAAGAAGTGCGATGACATGGGAGTTGCAGGATGGAGATTCAGGGACAGGCACTCTAAGCAGAGGGGAATTGTGTTCAAACCCAACAAGGCATGAGATGGTTGAACACAGATGAGATTCTCAGCATGGAGCTTAGGCTGATCAGGTAGAGGCCATATTATTAAGAATTCTAATTGTACCAATAAGCACTGGGTGATGTATGGAATTGTTGAGTCATTATATTGCACTCTTAAAACTAATATAACTGTATGTTAACTATACTGGAATTGATATTTAAAAAAAAAGAATCTAAATACATAGTATGTTGAAAAGGTCCTTAAGCAGAAATATTAGGTGGATGGCCTCCCTCACTGCCCCTGCCCCCTGCAAACTTTTTGTACTGATGGAAATGGACAGAATAGGGCAGTGCTGATGGGTCGACAGAAAGATGACCTTTGTACTTTCATTTTTGTTTTCATTTCTGAGGACTTTATTTTAGATCAAGGAGTGAGATTTATGTCTTGTAGAAGGAGTCATATATACATAAATCCTGATGACATCTTCCATGGCTTCCATGGGATTCTATGAACTAGTTGCTATGTTGGAAACTTTGCATATATTATTTAATTATCCTCAAAAACATTTTTTAAAAGATTTTATTTATTTGTTTGACTGAGAGAGAGATCACAAGTAGGCAGAGAGGCAGGCAGAGAGAGAGGGGGAAGCAGATTCCCCACTGAGCAGAGAGCCTGATGCCGTGTTTGATCCCAGGACCCTGAGATCATGACCCGAGCCGAAGACAGAGGCTTAATCCCCTGAGCCACCCAGGTGCCCCAGTCCTCAAAAAGATTTTTGAAATGATACTGCATTTGCATTCTACTGGTAGATATCTATGGGACAAATCTCCATTTCATTAATAGGAAAATAGAGGCTCTGAGACTTTAAAACAGTTGCCCAAGATAATAGGACTATATGTAGCAAGGAAAAAGAAAAAGGAGTACCAGTAATATTCTCAGCAAGGAAAATAGAGTTAGATGATATTTGCAACCTTCTAAAAGGCTTCATTGAGATGTGTAAGTTATGGCATGTCTGTGTTTTTTTTAGAAAGTTTCAGTACTTCTGTAATCACACTTAATATTTTCAGTCTCCTCACTAAAGAAAAATAAATTTGCAATTAGACTATGAGCTCTAAGGGTAAAATACTATGGGCAAACACAAAACAACTCTCTTGGATTAATAGCAATTTACATAGCAAATCTAAAGAGATTGTGCAGTACTATCAGATAAATACTTTTTTTTTTTTTTTTTTGTATTGTTGTCTGGAACCATACACTGACTGCTTGCCATTCTCTGCAGTGGGAGTTCAGGCAGCATCCAGCCAAAGTAAAATAGATTTTATAAAATCAAATTGATTTTTTTTTTTAATTTTTGCTGTTTGCCCTCAACGTAGCACCATTTTTCATATACTTGAGGCTGACCTAAGGTTGGGAAATTTGCCAATCAATTGTTCAGACTTCTTTATTTTATAATCCATAGGATACTATTGACCAACACAGGAAAACATCTGTTATAAAGAAAGCCAAAAGCTACTAAGAACTTAATAATAGATGGTCACCTTGTCCTTTTTGTAGGCACTCCAGAGTTGGATATTAATTTCAATCAACCCAGTTATCTTTAATTAATTACATTCTTCTAGAGGTTGATGCCTCAGGTTGTCCAACTTTTTACAAGGTAAATAGGATAATTTGCCTAACAATTCCAGCATTTGGAGTAGAGCTGGGGAGGGAGTTAGCAGATACAGCACCACTCATTTTCACTCCTTAGCAGAGGGTTGAAGTTCAGCCAGAGGTCTTGTAGAATAGGAGTTTTTAGAGGATATTTAGTGAGGTCCCCATTGGAACATTATCTATATCGCAAACAACCGTACATCATTTGGTAATCATGGGCAAGTTTCAGCTTGGGAAAGACCTCATGTTCATTAGCTTTATGTAAAATGGAGAGGTCCCAATTTTGAGAATGCCAGCATACTTCTAGCCTATCAAATCCCTCATGTCAGGCAGGATTATCTAGTGGAGGAGTAGAGGTAGGGGAAAGGGAAAGAAGCTCTTGGGCCATGCCTGGACACCAGGAAGTTTTCACACACCCTTCTTGGCAAGGATATCAAATGAGGGTTCCATGGCTTCCAAAGTCTCTTAAAGCTTTAACACACTCTGCTCCTAAGCTCTGTCATTTGCTCTCAGTTGAAAGCAGGGCTTTAGCGGTCCAACCTGCATGGTAGGGGAGAGAGAGGTCCCAAAAGAGCTACCTGCTGCTGTTGTCATGAATTCTCCCTGCTCCTTACATTCGGGTGCAGCCAATGGGAGCTCAGGAAGCAGTCACGTGTTCTGCTAGCCAGAGAACTTTTTTTTTTTTTTAATATTTTATTTATTTATTTGTCAGAGAGAAAGAGAGAGAGAGGGAGAAGGAGAGAGAGCACAAGTAGGGGGAATCAGCAGGCAGAGGGAGAAGCAGGCTCCCCAAGGAGCAGGAAGCCCCACACGGGACTCAGTCCCAGGATCCTGGGATCATGATCTGAGCTGAAGGCAGACGCTTAACCGACTGAGCCACCCAGGCATCCCCAGAACACTTGTACAAATGGCCTGACCCTCCAAGCTGGGCTGTAACTACCCATTTCTATTACTTCAGATCTTGTAGCAAATCCTCCTTGCCCTGCTCATTCACTGGCTTTCAGACTCCTGGGGACACAAACCCATATTAAA